TGACAGTTTCGATTTCTTTCTCAATAAATAGCTGGTGATTTACTAAGACTAAGAGGCGAAAAGCGGGAAAGTAATGAAATATATGTCAGTAGCGAAATAAACACCATTGCAAACAGATGAATAATAGAGCAATTTGGTTCCATCCAGATACATAAAATCACTAACACTGCCTCTCATTTTATTCACCACAAACCAGAGTTAACTTAGGTGGCATCTAAATAATTAAGTGTCATCTATCAAACTAGAGCTGACCAACCATGGGCGCCCGCAGGAAAGTTTGTCGAGAAAAAGTCAATACAATTGCATAGGAAGGGGGCTGTGGAGTATCTAAATTATCTAAATCATTTAGTATCTAAATCATCTTCATTACTAGATTTTAAAAAAAAAAATGATCTACGAAAATGGCTTAAACTAAAAAAAAGAAAATAGGAAAGAAAAAAATCTACCCGTCCTAAGAGAAATTAACATAGCAAAAATAAAAAAACAACTAAAAAGAATAAAACTATAAATCTATGAAATAACAAGGAGAAAAAAACAATTTAAAAAAAATAATTCTCATACTATTAGTGTTATCACACCCGGCTCCGAAGCCATTTAATCTGTACGGAGCCACTGCGGGTGCGAATAGTTATTTGTAATTAAAGGTACCCGGGTACCTATAGATGCAGCCTTTTGAAAGTTGACTGAACAAATCATTAGTTGATTAGGAAAACTGGTGTCTGAATCATTCTCGCAACATACCCTGCCCATCTGGCTTGTTAAGTATAACATAGCAGCCCCCGCCCCATTATTAAAAAAAAACAAAAAAAAAAAAACTACTAGAACACCACCACCATTGGCCTTCTGGATAGACAACAACCAGTTTATAAAAAAACAAAAACAAAAAAAACAACAAAAAAAAAACAAACAAAAAAAATAACAAAGCAGCCCCCCCCCCATTATTAAAAAAAAAAAAAAAAAAAAAAAACTACTAGAACACCACCACCATTGGCCTTCTGGATAGACAACAACCAGTTTATAAAAAAACAAAAACAAAAAAAACAACAAAAAAAAAAACAAACAAAAAAAACGAAAGTGACAATAACGTCGATCATAAGCAATCTAAAAATACACAAATAAACTGCTCACGTGACGCGATAAAATCATGTGACTACTATTTAAGTTCAACTAAATTGTTTTTCCCGTCTCATTTAATCAGAGTCAATAGCTGTGCATATGTAAAGCTGTTTAATAACTTGATTAAAAAATAACCGGAATAACCTTCTTCATTATGTTAAAGCGTTTATAAATGGATCCAATATAATAAAGTAAAAAAGCCGACCATAAATTCAAACGTCAAAATGTTGTCAAAGCGGACTCCTCCTGGGCCTGCACATGACAACAATGAGTATGAGAAGCAGTCGAAGTCAATGGTTTCTTGCCCAGTGTGTAAAACTAAGTAAGTAAACCCACTAAGTAAGTACTATAATTTAATGCAACTTTTAGAATTCGTCCGTTCTTGGTGCCATGGCCTGTTGGTCCTAAGTTACAAAAGCTTGAAACTCATTCATCAAGGCGTGCTGCCTAACACTAACTTTGTCTTGGTAAAAAATAAAAAAAATAAAAACTGGGCTGTAACTGTAACTTAAAATGTAATAAGTATAAGATTCATTATTTTAAGTTTAAATCACATTGTCATTGACAAAGATAGTAGGCTACTCAAATTGTGAATACATTACTTTAAAACATATACCTGTACTGTGGCATGCCTGCGTAGTAGAGTAGGCCTATAGTTATAGTCTATAGTTATAATTTATTATTATGGCATATATAATATATACTAAATAATTGAATGCCCTTTTGCCTTTTAAAACTTTCAAATTAGACATGACATAATAAAAAAAATTAAGTTATTTTTAAAGGAATGCACTGTAGTTAATATTATATACATTGTTGTAAGAGAAAAATAAATAAATTAATAAAAAATAATTTAAGCACTAACCCTAAGGCACCTTTGAATTGTGAGATGCTATGATTAGCCACTTCGATGAGATCCGGGAATTGCCGAAAACCGGGTATCGTGATTTCGTTATCAAAATGGCGACCTCCACTTTTTAATTTACCGAGACCCTCGTTGTTTACGATTTTTTTTGCTAATTTTAGCCCAGCAAGAACATTCTATTTCCACCCACAACTTTGAGTAGACATGTCGTTTTATGATTAGACACTTTTGTTCTTAAAAATATTTGAGGTCTTAACTTTGAAAATTGAAGGTAAAATAATGCTTATTTTACTCATTCATATTTTTTTTCTGGAAAGGTTGTCTTTCTCAAATAAAAAGACGATGGGAGATAATAACATAAATTACAACATATAAAAAATTCAAGAGATTAGCACTGTTACGCACTGACTTGTATTAGGAGAAATTAATCTCCTATTTTAATTTTAATTGGCTCGTTGTAAACAGTGCCTAACAAAGGACGATACCATAGAATCAACAATATTAAAGATACGACCCAAAACAGTTTCTAGTTACAATTAATAAGATTTATTAAGTCTAAAGATAATTACAAAAGAAAAGAAAATATAATTACAATCTTCAACTTACAGTATGGTAGATCTTGTACCGGTACATAGTTAATACAGTTAGAATAATGTGCCAATGAATAATGCGAAGGAAACACATATGAGTACACAAATATACAAAGAATATAACACGCCTCGTAAAGTTAATAAAATCTATCTAAATCTCTGTCGCCTCGTATCTGTCAATCCTTTATATACATGTAGCGTAAGACGCTTCCAGAAGGACCTATGACGTGTTGTTTACATATCTCGGGTTAAGGAGTACATTAGAGAAGTTACCCGGAGACATTCTACCCAATGCGTAATTGGAAGCTGATTGTAAACAAGCTACATCAAAGAGATTTAGCCACGCCCACAACAGACGTTACTGTCTGCTAGGAGTGTACTACGAGGTCGGGAAAGTTCACGCACAGGAAATTGTGCTACATAACAAGCACAACAGGCCTAGAAAAGTATAGTATTTTATAAGTATAGGCCTAGCTCCTGCCCAACTCATTATTTGTGTGACACATTATTTGTTATTTGTAATGATATTTTAATGAATATTATGATTCTTAATGCATAGATTAAGCAAAAATGTAAAAAAAAAAAATAGTCACTTACCTTTCATATTGAAATATCCTATATTTAATCACATATCACAATATTTCACAAGAGAATTATTACATAATCCTTGTATCAATGCACTGCTTCATGTCAGATCAATGAATGCCCCTGCTTTAATAAAATAGTAATGAATGTATTCTCTTTTTCCTTTTTGCATCTCATGCAGCCACTTACCCACTAAAGGAAACTTGACCAATGGAGTTTATGCTTGTACATGTGAAAATTGTGGCCACTTCTTTAAATTCAAGGCTATCCAAGACATAAAAAGTACAGTGACATTCAAAATCAATGGAGTTTCTTACACGGGTAGGTTTAAAGTAATTCTAATATTTGAAACTTTTAGCTACAGTAGATGCCATACCTTGTGGTGTATCTAAGAGAAAAAACACTCTACCAACCTGTGCTGCCTTGTCTCTACAAACCCCATGGTCAAAAGCTTAGGGACTTAACCCTTACAGAAAATCCAGAGATGCAGTCCTGTAGACATTTTGATTTTGCACAATATAACTGCGCCACCAACTTCTGTGACATGCCTGTCTTCAAGCTGTATCATTCATGTTACACTGGCTTTTTCTTATGTGTATGAGATAACTTTCATTTAGACCTCATACAAACATTTCACCAATAATGATTCTAAATAAAATCTACTTTTAAAAAATAATAATAATTGCAACAAATCACTAACCACCCATCCCACGAGATTGTAAATCTCTTAGTTATATAGTGATTCTAGCGATGATTAGCGATACAACATCGACAAGCACTTTCAAAATAGTTATATATACTTTATCTCTTATGCTATTGCGTTAAGTTATGAACAAGTAGAGGTATGAATTTGAAGCTTCTTTCGATATGAGGCCTGCAACAAATATTCCGCCTGCAATTTATAATCCCCACCCCATTTCCTAAGAGGAGATAGAATTAATATGTTAGAATTTAGGGTCAGTAATCTTCTCATGAACATAAAAAAACTCCCCTCAACTAAGCCCTTCAGAGATTTCGAACAAAAAGAATAAAGACATTTCTTAGAAAGTGGATTCAAGTTGAATTATAAAAGTATGAATAATCTTTATCTTTCCAAATATCAAACACCCATGGTGTTCCTTTTACTAAATGCAGTTCGAGGCAACGTCTCAAAATCACCCTCCCTCCCTCCCACATCTATTAAGTAATGTCAATTATAAACATTAACAAAAGTGCAGCAAAGGTTCGTTACTTTCTTGACCTTTTCCTTCCCACGTACACTTCTGCTGATGCTTACTCCCATCCAATGGTCTCGGTTTCAGACCTTTACATTAAGCCAAGCCTATTTTTACCCATTTGATTATAATGAATTTGTTAAAAACTTAATGTAGTAAATAGATTTTTCTCATGACTAAATGACATAACTTTTATAATAAGTTTAAGATGTAGGTTTTTCAATAGTTACAGATATCATTTTTTGAAGGCCCCCATGTTCATATAATAAGAGTTGTGTGACCCACTAATGACAAAGCAGTTCTTAATCAGACTTTACATATCTATCAGAGCTGTTTGAGTGATAACAAGCTGCAGTGACGGTACAGAATAAAATCAATTTGGTTTTAAATCACTGCTAAGCCCCATTAGTAATTAACTGATATGATATGTAGAGTAAAGTTGATACAAACCAGCCCAAAGGTCTGAACCTCCAACTTTAACACTGATATTGATTACATTTGGTAGGTATTGGAGACTACATGATAAGAAATCTGATTAAAAAGATGCTTATAATAATGATTTTTTGTGTGTGCAGTAGATTTTCATATACAATATCCCACTGTTGGTGGGGTGTGAGGTGAACTTCTACATTTTGTGATGGATTTTGTATTTGGAAGATGGATAAGGAGGGGAAATTATGAGTATAGAATTCCTGCCAAAATTACATTTGATTTGGAAATGTCTGGAGACCCACTGCAAAATTTTAAATACCCTTTACGGCAGTGCTTCCCAAACGTTTTTCCCCCCCTCTTCCCCCAATCCACTAAATAAATTTAACCCCCCCCCCCCCCCCACTTCCCAAATAAGTGTTGAAAAAAATTATACTCCATGCTGATTAAAGAAGAATGAATTTCAATTCTACGGCCTTTCTAAGCATTAAGAAAAAGTTACAATAAGTGAAATATATTTGTATTGCCAAATTTGAAATTTAAAAAAGTTGGTTAACTTATGAAAAAAATAATCCAGTTTTAACTATTCATCCCCATCCCCGCCCCTTTGAAAGTTAAATACCTTACCTATATCCCAGAGCAGGGGCATAGCTAGAGTTAGTACCACAAGTTTTGACGCCTCCCTGCCACCAAAAAAAAAAAAAGCTTTTGTCCACAAATGCCCCACCTCCATTTGAAGATAAAGGGCCACCTCTCACCCTCCACTTATTACGCCAGTGTCACAGAGACTATAATACTATGTTGTCCTATAATCTTCATATTGCCCCCTTGTAGATCGTGTCACAGAGACTATAATACTATGTCCTCCTATAATCTTCGTATTGCCTCCTTGTGGAACTATGATGTAAGTTAGATAACACTGGTTTAGGTGACTTGACTTCATTTGATTGTTGTGTGCGTCATAATAATTTATAAATATATAAATTTTTTTTTGTTGGCGGTGAAGGGTGTTCTAAAATTTGATTTTTTTTACATTCAAAATATAGAGATTGGCCCCATATAAAAAAAAAAAAATTTGCAAGAAAGTGGTAATACTCTTTTTATGAATGGCTTCTAGGTCAAATGACATTTCAGTATAATAAAATCAAGAATAATTCTTTGAGTATGTTTGCCTCTTTTTAATGAGTGCTTTAATTTTATTAATTTTTTTGTTCAGGGGAGATGGTTGGGTTTGGTTTGTGGATTCTTGAGCCAGAAAATGCAAGATATTATGTGCATAAAAAACTTTTATTTGTGGTGTCGTTTCATCATTGAAATGTGTAGATATCTAACTAGGGCAGAACATATATCCCTTTTTTATAGCATGGCAAAAAAATAATGGCTGTATCAGTATGGGGAGGGGGGGGGCAATATTTGAAATATATATTCCTAAACAATTCTAATTTTAAAAAAATTGTTTGTGTCTTCTTTAAGACAAGATATCTCTGGGGGGTTTATTTCAATACCCATATCAAGTTAACACACTTTAAAAAATTTGGATCAGGTAGGTCTCAAACCATGAACACAATAAACCAGTTCAAAGTTGACATATTATCTTCAGTAGGTTATCAATGTCAGATTTTTTTAATCACTCTGTTTATCTGCATGGAGTCTGTTTTGATAATTTGCTATATTTTCAACAAATCAGCTTGAGATGTTTCATTTTTTATTGTCGCTTAAAGTTCTCTACAAGAAACTAAACAACTAATCAGCTTTGTAAGAAATTCAAGCCGGGTGGCAAAAAGGCTCCAACACTGACATAAAGATCTTTAAACAAATTGCAACAACCATTGCAGATCCATTGTTAATTTGTTCAGTAGATCTATAGTTAGTTTTGGTCAATAGATAAATAGCTAATTGTGTAAGGATGTTTGCCCCATTTAAAGAACCTACATCTGTTACAACATGTCATTCATGTGTTACATTTGAGGTATTTTCTGAAAAAGTGCGACATATTTTTAATGTCAGAAGCATTCACAAGTCCTAAATTTGGACTTAGTTGCAGAGGGCCATTAACTAAGCAATGTGCTATATGAAATGACTGACAAACTATTGTTGCAGTTTAAAGGATGAGGAATTAGAAATAATATAATTTTTTATTTCTTTGACTGTACGTTACATCTGATCCAACCAATGAAATCTTTCTGTTACTTCCAGTTGGCAATGAATTTGATCCAGCAACATCTCTCAACGAATACATGCGCCAAACTGGCATATCCAGAGGGACGAAAGGCTGCTGTTATGAAGGAGGATGTGGAGTTTGTCTTGTGACTGTCAAACTATTTGAACCTATTTCATCTCAGACTGTAGCATACGCTGTCAACTCTGTAAGTCTGTATGTTTATTTAATTGAGCTGCAAATGAGAATTGTTTCTTTTACAAGTCTCGGTTTAAAAAAGAATTTGCTTTAAAATACAGTCGCAATCTTCAACAGTGCTGCTTACAACTCTACACTTGCGATGGGCTTGAAATTACCACAATTGAAGGGCTTGGCAATCCTAAAGCAGGTCTTCATCCTATCCAAGACAGGATGGCAAAACGAGACGGGGCTCAGTGTGGCTTTTGTACCCCAGGACAAATCATGAATATGTATGGGTAAGTCATGAATATTAATGCATAGGTCTCATGACAGAAGATTCTTCTTTGCCGTATGAAAAAGTGAATCCAGACCAGTGATCTCAGCAGTGGTACATTATGTTGTTTTAGGTGTTTAATAGTGATGATGTGACTAACATCTAATACATATACAGATATCCAGTCATTTGACGCATATGGTGGCACTGTAATTTTTGCTGGCATCCGTCCGTCACAATGTGACGATGGTGTGGGCTTCGGGGGTCGAAATCCAGATGGCCTGGGATTATTCTTCAAGGATTATAAGCTGGTTCCCAACAGCAAATCGCCTCTCTCCACGCCGCTGGATAACCCAAGGGAACATCATTGGATGATACAGCTTGGCACCAGTGACGTCGCAGGACTTGTCGCAATGTTTCATTGTACCAATGTTATCCGCCTTCGGGACTCCATCTCCAGGTTTGATTTCAGAGTTTCCTTCTCTTAGATGAGTTGCCATCCAAGGTTGACGAGTCCCATCCACCCGGGGTGATGGTGGTGTTTTTGCTTGACTGGGCTCTGGCTGGAATTGAACTCCAGACCATCAACTTGTTCAGTTTAGACCAGTAATAATCAGCAATTAATTTAGGTGGCACAACTTTCCTAAAGTTTGAGAACCATTGATTTGAATTATTGCTTTGTAACTTCAGTTGTGTCTTTATTTTTGTACAGGTGTGTACACATGTTTTCTTATATTGTGCGTTTTATTTTTTAAAATATTGTTTCCCCAAATAAAGAGGTGATTTTTTTCGTTCTTTCCTCTTTGACACATAAACCTTTGACACATAAACCTTTGACACATAAACCTTTGACACATAAACCTTTGACACATAAACCTTTGACACATAAACCTGCATAAAATGAATGGTTTTGACAAGTTCAATCTCAGTCTGTGGTTCACCCATTCAGGTTTTTATTTATATAGGTCTTGATTTCTTTAAGACTATGTTGTTACTCAGTTGCTCTCAAAACTATGGCATAGTCATTGTGGGAGCAGCGGTAGCAGCCATTCTCCGAAACCATTTTTACAAAAGTGGGACCATTTCAAAGATATAACTTTTTATCAGTTTGTCAAAATAAAAATGTTTTTAAAAAAACTAGTTTATCGAAGAAATTTTTTAAAATCTGATTAAATTCTGAAAAAAGGAAACAGTGCTTAAGATTACTTTAACTTATTATTTCAGAGCGTGGGTTTTTAAAGATATAATTTTTGCTCCCTCCAATGTCACAACATGGCCACGCTACTGTCTCAAAGATGAGGCCTGTGCTTTTCAAAAGGAGAGGTCCTGCCAGGGAACTTTGTCATCAGTTAATTTCTCAAATGTAACATCGCCCCACCTCCCCCTTCCCTCCACTATCCCTCAGGCTCCTACAGAGATTCCCCCAACCCACAGTCCAGCAGATTGAAGATGAGTTTGATGCCACTCTCTGCAGATGTACAGGTAAACATGAATCATTTGCAGGTGTACAGGTAAACATTAAGTATTTGCAGATGTACAGGTAAACATTAAGTATTTGCAGATGCACAGGTAAACATTAAGTATTTGCAGATGTACAGGTAAACGCTAATTATTTGCAGATGCACAGGTATGTAGAAAAATATTGCGTTTTTCAAATTCCACCCTTCCAGCAACGTTGAAGTGAAGGCAATGAATAACACGATGAGACCACTGTTTTTAGTTCAGATGCCCTAACTGTGATTTTTTTCCTTCTATTTAACCATTATTTATTTCCCTATATTATTACTCATTTGTGTACTTTATAATTGAAACAATTTATCAAGAGAATTTAACAATTACATTATTCTAGGTTACAGAGCCATTTTGGATGCCATGAAATCGTTTGCCATTGATGCTCCAAAAGAACTGAATGGAAAGTTGATTGATATTGAGGTATTTAACATTTCTAGCCCTAATTACCATCAAAATAAAATTGATGCAGAAGAATAATGCATTTTTGGCTTTAACCAGCCTGGGAAATTAATTAGTTTATATACTTAAAAAATTTTGCTATAATGCGGCGGTGTTTGTGCTAATGATATGTTAATTTATTTAACTGCACTCGGTTTAGTACTGGTATATTAAGTTAAGAAATAAAATAATTCAATATTCAGTCTCAACGAGAAATGAATTGATAACACATTTTTTTAATTTACCCTCAACTAAAAAAAAAATTAATTAGGATTTGGAAGCAAAACTGTGCAAAAAAACTGGCCAAGCCTGCACTGGTCACTGCAGTGGAAAAAACAAAAATGGTGGTGCCTGTGAGAACCAGGTCCCGCGACCACTGCACATAGTAGGTTATGGTGCTCAGTGGTTTAAGCCTGCGACTGTCCAAGAACTGTTGCAACTCCTGGGACAGCATCGGACAGAGAACTACAGGCTGGTCTTTGGAAACACTGGATTCGGTGAGAAATATTTACTGTTTTCAAATACAGTCCTCATAAACGACGCTCCATCTATTTTAATTCACACCACATGGTCTTTGAAAACACTAGGTTTGGTGAGCACTTATTTTGCACAATCCCCATGCCCTGTGAGCAGCTAATACACACTACATGTGATTTGTTGAATATTTATTTCGTACAAAAATCCCCATGAGCTGTGGTCAGTCTTAAATTTTAGCACACCACTTGGGATGTGGTAAAGTTTTCATTTTTTTTTAAACACACACTCAATTATTGGTTTTATTTTTAATAATGCGCTGCGAAGGAAAACAAATAGTTGTTTTGAACGTCACCCTTGGATGAGTTGCTAAGGGAAGCTATCCAGATTTGTTTAGTTTCTTTGTTAATTTTTTGAATCCACTAAAGAAATGTTTTCCTGTATCAGGAGTTTACCAAGACTTTGGGCCATGGAACTTCAATGTTTTGATTGACATAAGAGGACTCCAAGAACTCTACACCATTCAGGTGAGTGATTCAAAATCCTCCACTCTTGTTGTCCTTATGGTGCTATTCCTGTTGTTGTAAAGGTGAACTTAGGGATAGTATTCCTGTTGTTGTTGTTGTAGTAAGGTGTACTTGTTGAGACTATTCCTGTTGTTGTTGTAAAGGTGTACTTGTTGAAACTATTCCTGTTGTTGCTGTAAAGGTGTACTTGTTGAGACTATTCCTGTTGTTGTAGTAAAGGTGTACTTGTTGAGACTATTCCTGTTGTTGTTGTAAAGGTGTATTTGTTGAGACTATTCCTGTTGTTGTTGTAAAGGTGTACTTGTTGAGACTATTCCTGTTGTGGTTGTTGTAAAGGTGTGGTTGTTGATACTATTCCTCTTGTTGTAAAGGTGTACTTAGTGATACTATTCCTGTTGTTGTTGTAAAGGTGTACTTAGTGATATTGGTTTTGACCAGAGTTGACTCAAATTACAAGCGCAGTGTTGCCATTTTGGGGAAATCCCAAAATCCCACGTCAGATGAATAGTTGTACCAGAACGATGTGTACGATACCCTCCCACTCTTCATAGAGCATTATTCTCACCATAACCTAAACCTGAAGATCTATCAAATTTATATGAAATGTATTCAAATGAACTTTTCCTTTTGTTTTTATAAAATTCCACTTACAAGCTTCAAAAAAATATTTAAAAGAATTGTCATCCCCTGCTGATATGCCAAAATAAACCACCAGTGAAAAAAAAGCAAACAATTCAAGCGGATGGCGAAAAAATGCTGTCTTTTCATTGGTTAAGAAACAACGAAATGTTTGTGACTCCATACCATGTGCTAAAAGGTGCCAATAATATTACCTTAATGAAGTCATGCTTAGTGTGCCGTTCATTGATTCAATTATGTTATGCCATTTCAATGTACACTACAACATAAATTTCTGGTCAGGTGAGGCTCCCCCAGCCCCCCCCCCCCCCCCTTTCCCCAACAAAAAAAAACAAAAAAAGGTTTTTTTTGTCAAATAAGTAATGTACAGAGATCAAAGTCCAAATCTTTTGAATACAGAACTATAGCTGGAAGTAATCTTGTGCGGACCTCCATTACCTTTACCTCTATGGAGGGAGGCAGACATCGCCAACCATGCCGCCAAGTAAACCTTAGCCTTCTGTTGTTACATCAAAATGGAGAGTTGCTCAGGTGAAGGGCTTGGGGCCATAAGCGACTCGGTGCAGCAAGAGCTGCCAGGGGAAACAATTCAGTTATTCATAAATGAGGTTGACAGCTCCTGGTTGCCCTTTTCCTTGTGCAGCATAAATTAGATTAGACTAAGTCTCAGAAATTGCTTTTAACTTTCAGGAAAATCAATTTATTTCAAAAGTCCTTTTAAATAATAATTATTGTGGGTTCATATACCTGTTAAGAAGAAAGTAGACATGATAATGATTAATTTTTGAACAATATATGTTCAATACAGTTATGTTTGAATATGAAGTATAATGGCTATTTTATGATATATGTTCAATACAGTTATGTTTAAATATGAAGTATAATGACTATTTTATGATATATGTTCAATACAGTTATGTTTAAACATGAAGTATAATGGCTATTTTATGATATATGTTCATTGCAGATATATTTGAAAATGAAGTATAATGAGTATTCTATGATATATGTTCAATATAGATATGGTTAAATATGAAGTATAATGACTATTCTATGGTATATGTTCAATACAGTTATGTTTAAATATGAAGTATAATGACTATTCTATGATATATGTTCAATATAGATATGGTTAAATATGAAGTATAATGACTACCCCTTGTTATGTTTATAGAACAATGCCAGCCTTACGCTGGGTGCCAACTTATCTTTGAGCAATCTGCAAGAGTTTTTTGCCAAGTCTGTCGGTGACGCCACGCTCCCCTATGCTGAAACTTTTGCTCACCACCTCCAGTATGTTGCACAACATGGAATCAGAAATGTAAGCACTGGTGTATTAATACTTTGGCCACTTCCTGTGCGTACTGTGGATCTGTGGGCTTTATAGTCTGGGGTTAGAGACTTATTCCTTGTCAATTACAGATGAAAGTAGTGTATGTTAAAACACATGAAAGTAGTGTATGTTAAAACACATGAAAGTAGTGCATGTTAAAACACATGAAAGTAGTGCATGTTAAAACACATGAAAGTAGTGCATGTTAAAACACATGAAAGTTGTGTATGCTACTCTGCATGTTTTAAATTTTAATAATCACTAAATATGCATTTATTGTAAAATTTTGACAAAACTTTGGCAGATACTTTCCACCCTCTTCATGACAGACACCTAAGATCAGCTCGATTAAGCGAATTCTTTCCTTCAATGTTAGAACCGATAGATATAATAATAATTTGTTCCCCTATCTATAAGAATTTACCACCATCCCCCCCCCCCCCCCCCAAGCTGTTAAAAAATCTAAATAATCAAGCTTAAAATCACTATTGTCACTAACTGAGTGAAGTACCCTGGCATATGATGGCTGATTTTTTGCGCTGGAGAAATACTTCATTTGTTCTGTGTTAAATTTTTCTTGTTTAAAATTGTTTAAGAATATTTATAAATGAATATGTGCATTTTAAAAAATTAAAATTTCCATTTATTTGGATCAATAAGAAGCCTTGTTACTAGATGTTCATCTTATTTATCTTTTATCTTGTAATAATTTTTTTTTTTTTTGTAATGCAGTAACTGAAGCATTTTTTTTCAATGTTGTCAACTCTATGCCCCCCCCCTCCCCTCCACCTATTCCCCCAACCTGTTTCTTCCTCAGATGGCCTGCTGGGCTGGTAACCTTGCCCTTAAACACGCCCACCCAGAGTTTCCTGCTGATGTGTTTACACTTTTTGAGACAGTTGGAGCCAAACTTGTTGTCTGTAAGTAAAACTGGCATGATGTATCCTGGAAAAAAGTGTCACCGAATAATTATGTAATTTTTTTAAATACGTGGTTGTATATTTAAATTACACATATTATACACATATTGGAAGAATTGAATCAGTAATTTTTAGTGTCCGAGTGTTGCAATTATTACAAATGGCAAGTTATTTGTAAAAGTATTTTATTTGGGGCTTTTTTGTACCCCTTTTTTTATAATTTATTCCAGACTTCATTATGTACTTATGGGCATTACCATTTTTTAACTAGATATTGTTTGCTTATCTTGTTTGAATTTTTTTGTTTATTTTAACAAAAGGAGACACACATAATATATACAAACTGTTGTTTTTTTAAAATTCAAAATCTTTAGATGATGGCGATGGAACTCAAAACCAATACTCAGTTCAGGATTTCCTTGGCATTGACCTGAAAGGAAAGGTCATCACAGCAGCCATCCTTCCGAAATTCACTTCCACAGGTGTCCGTGTTCAGACGTACAAGCCATCACAACGGTTACAGGTAAGACTTTTAACTAATCAACTTGTCAGCCTAGCAAGGCGGCTGCTCTCAAGGTGGGAAAACCTTCAGTAAAACATTCCCAGCCACCAAAGATTGAAGACAGAAATCAAATTTGCAGGCGTTAAAAATGATCCTTCTACATTCCCACAACATTGGTTTTTTTTTTTTATTAAAGAAAACCCAACTATAAAGAAACCCAACTATAAAGAAAACCCAATTATGAAGAAAACCCAACTATAAAGAAAACACATGCATCCATCCATCCCTGTGGCGCTCAGTCCATGTAGGGCTTTGGCCTGCCTCACCACTTCCTTCCACTCAGACCTAACTAATGCCTTTATTTTCCATGCTTGGACTTTCAACTGCTGTAGATCATTTTCCACATCATCTATCCACCTAAGCCTAGGACTGCCTTTGAGCATTTTTCCTCTGGGGTATTGGTGATGCACCCTCTTCGTTCCTCTGTCATTTGGCATTCTCTCTAGGTGTTCTGCCCAGCGTAGCCTGCCTCTTTTTATTTCTGCCTCTATCGTAGGATCCTGATATAGACTGTATAAAGAAAACACACCCAAACTATTACCATAAATTACCATATAATGGGAGAAATTTATGGTAAAAAATGCTACATAAATTAGTTATGGGTTGGTGTAACGTACATGCTCTGACATCATTATCATTGTAACTTATTTCTTATGCTGTGGGTTATGTCAGTAGCATGGTTACTTGTTTTAAGTTAGTAAATCAGTAATTCAATATGCCGGCTAAGACTTCATCGTTCTTCCTCTTGCTATCCAGGCACGCAAATAAGAATACTGAATCCTGGTTAAACTTACAGTACTTTATTGAATCACAGTTTACACAGATACTATTAATAATAATCCTTGCATGAATGTAATCATTTCACATATATCCATATAATATTCCATCACTCAGAAAGACACGTCCTCACACTACTATAACTCAGCTCAACTGTGCTACATCTCAACTCTAACTCAACTCTGACCAACTCTGACTCTTCTCCTGCGCTCCGCTCTCCTTATCTCAGTCAACTCATACTTTATTACCAGCAAAGCGTGGAAAACAACCGCTCTGACAAAAACATAATTTTACTCTCCAAAAACGTGGAGCTCACATTTGTTCTCAAAAATACAATCCATAGATTGTCTCTCCTCGTGGAAAAAACATGGTCAACACTATTCACTGTTCACTCATGCTACCTCTCTGTTTTCATGTGAAAACATAGTCCGTTACAGTTGGCATAATAAGCAGATACGCTTGTAAGCCATTTTTAAACAATATATTAGACTAATGCCTATGCAACTAGACTACTGTACTGCGCATTGTACTGCGCTTAAAGAAAATGATGTAAGTAGCGCCCCTTGACGTGATAACATTGTTTGTTACTGCATGACCACAGTTCATTTACAAAATTATAATGTAAGGATTGGGACATTTTTATTTAAAATTAATTTTTTGTTTGTTGTTAATTTGTTTTGTGTTATTATTATAATTTTATGGAAAGAGATTAACAGATGTCATTGTATGTGGACATGTAAATTTATGGCTAAAAAGCCATTTGAAAAATCGAACAAAAGGGTAGGGGCTCACTTTATACGTTGATCATGACATATTTGGTAATACACGGTAGTTACTTCTTGTCTTGAGAAAAAACAAAGAGGGCCCCCCCCCCCTTTTTTTTTTTTATTTCCTGAAATTTAGGATATTGCTTTCCCTAATTTATTATTTAAAGTTTAGTGACCCTAATTTCAATGCTTGTATTTGCATAATTTCAATGTTTTTATTTTAAAATCAAACAAAAGGGTAGGAGCTGACTTTATAAGTTGATCATGACATATTTGGTAATACACGGTAGTTATTTCTTGTCTTGAGAAAAAACAAAGAGGGCCCCCCCCCCCTTTTTTTTTTATATGTCCTGAAATTTAGGATATTGCTTTCCCTAATTGATTATCTAAAGTTTAGTGACCCTACTTTCAATGCTTGTAATTGCAGAATTTCAATGTTTTTAATTAAAGTGCTTTATATGCTTGTGTATATACTTTTCATATAATTTAAATTTGGGTTTTGTTCCAGGTAGTCTGTTAGTGGAATGAACAATACCCCCCCCCTCCAAACCCCAATTTTTACCTTATTAATTTTAATGCCACCATTCAAATGCCCATATCACACAATGAAAAGAGCAACTTGAGCTGAAATAGTTGCATAGACAGAAAAAGCCAGCAGAGAAATAGCCAGCAGATTTTTCTCTTATTTTCTGAGCTTTTACATTTTTTTAGTGACTGAAACAGAGAAAAGATAAGATTATTTTATGGATCAAAACAAATAGAAATGTATTATTATGATTACTTTGTACATTATTCATTCTCTGAAGGTTATTAAGAAATTTAAAAAACCAGACTGTAAAGAAAGACTATATTTTAAAAAATTGTGATTAAAATAATTTTAAATCATAAACAAAATCTAAGTCTTTTGAAACTTAACTTACTCCTTTTAATTTGCTCAGGCAAGTCAAGGTTATGTCAGCGCAGGCTTCTTGGTAGATGTGGACACAAGTCAAAATTTCCTGGTGAAGAACAAGCCATCTATTGTCATTCAAGGAATTAACTCACAGCTGGTAAATGAAACAGATTAAAAAACAGATTTAAAAATTTTGTTGGCACAAACATATTTTGTCTCTCATATATTTTTAACTCTTAATTCTAGCAATATATTTAATACCTTCAACTCTAGCAGTATGCCCTTTTCTCCCAACTTAAGAAATAAATTGTTGACTCTTAAATCTAGCAATATATTTAATTCAGTTTGTCCTTCTCTCTCAATTCTAGAAAAATATTATTGACTCTAAGTTCTAGCAATACATTACTTTCAACTCCAGCAGTGTATCCTTGTCTCTCAACATCAGCCATACCAATTTATTTTTTTCATCTATTTTGAGTCTTATTGATATAACATCGATGAATATTTAGTACAACATATGATCGTTAAAATTCTCTTCTCATATTTTATTGACTTACTCAGACCCATGCAATCCAGACCGAGTCCTTCCTAACAAACAAAAAGTTGGGTGACCCCACTGTGTTACAGAGTAAGATACAATAGTTTTCTTCTCATAAAGTGAAAGAAATTTCTTTAAAAACTAATTTAGGTTTTTAAATTTATGAAATGGCTTAAAATTAAGTAATTTTTTTTTTAATAGCAAAAAAAAAAAAATTTATGAAAAGAAATTAGGTTTAAAAAAAATTATTTTGTAGATTACGAAATTGTGCTTCATAAATTTTAAGATAAGATTAGAAAAGATCAGATTCTTTTATTGAACCCAAATAAAAGGAAATGCGAATTTATTACTTTGAAATAAAGAGCATATGAAATAAAATTACAGAAAGTGAAGATTCTGATTAAAATTTAAACCACCAAAATTTTAAGTAAAGACATTATTGTCATTATTAAAGGAATTTTTACAACAAAAAATACATCATCAGCACCTTACAAACTCATCAGAAAATTATGCATAATTGTTGAAACTTCATGGACTGAAACATATTTTTTTAAAAATATATTTGTTCAGATGCCTTGTCAATTTTGACATCTGAACTTATCCCAGAGACACGGACCGGGTGGTCCAGTGCTACATACAGGAGGTCTGTTGCTTTGGGCTTGTTCTACAAGGTGGGCTGGCTTTCTGTTCAAATAAAAATTTAGCCTGAAAAATGCACGAAAAAAGAAATGGCAGCAACTTTATAAAAATGTTAGCACGGTGTTTGAACTTTGATCTACATTATTTTTCATTTATGTGTTGTTTATTATTCGGATGTCTGCTAAAGAAGGTATCATGTCAGTTTACTTGTCACATAGCTTGTTACACTATTTTTCTGTTGGGAGGGGGACAAAAATCTTGAACCCCTTCATGCCCCTTGAACCCCTTCATGCTCCTGAGTTGGCAAATTTTTGTGATTGATCAACCATTTTTATATATCAAATCTGCTATGAAAATATTTTTCTAGCCACATTTCCTTATGGATTAGTAAAAAAAACGGGAATTTGATATTAGAAACACACATACCAGCAATTTAGCTAGTAAGGAGAGCAGGGCAGCAGCAGCTTATGCTAACAATTTTATATTGGTGTTATCTTCTGGGTACAAAAAAGGTGAATAGAATTTTATTATACTAGGACCAGTTGTAATAATGTTTTTTGCCCAAATAATTTTTTTTTAAATACAATAATTTTAGGTCTACAAATGACATAGAATATGGCAGATATGGGGCGTATTACATGACACAAAGATTTTTAAAAAAAGGAGATTTTAAGTTTCAGGTTATTAGAGAACATTATTTTAATTGAAAAAGGATGTGTCCTCCTTTTGGATACCACATGGTAACCCTAGTTATGATGATAGAAAAACATAAGTAATTATTTGTTTAAAAATAATCATGACAATTATAAAAATTTGATTTATAAAGTGAATAAATGTCAATTAAATGTAATAAGCATTTAGTTCAATAGTTGCCTGAATTTTTTGTTGTTGGTCAGGTGAATAATTTATTTTCCACTATTTCAGTTTGTTTTGAATGTTTGCCAAAGCAAAGCTGACCCACGCTATGTCAGTGGAGGTACTGGCCTAACTAGAACACCGATTGTGGGCACACAGGATTACGGGACAGATCCATCAGAATATCCAGTCTCACAGGCCATTCCAAAAATTACTGCCGAGTATTTGGTGAGATAAACAGATTATTGATTTTTTTTGTTTTTTCAATCATATCCTAATTATTTATACTATTTCCTTGGTGGTAATGGCAGAATAAGGAATGCTTATGTCCTGTAATTTTTTTCTATGATAAAAGGTGCTGGAACTAATTTTTGTTTAATTAAACAAATATATATATTCTGCCGAAAATGGGAGCCAGAACGCTTATACCAAAATATACAAACTCAATTGATTTTTAAAAAAAACACCAGATAAAGCTGCTGTAAGCCTTTATATCTGGTTTAGATAAATTAAGATGTCAAAGTCGCTGCTCTAACTTAAGATTGTATACAACAAATAAAACATTTGTGATCTATTTCCATTAGACAAGTGGAACTGGTAAATTCCTTGATGACCTCAATGATGAACCTGGACAGCTGCACGCTGCCCCCGTCATCAGCAGTGTGGGGAATGCTGAGATTGATGTCATCGATGCCTCTTTAGCATTAGTAAGATTTTGTGTTTTTATCACACTGAGATTAACTTTCCCACAAGCGAAGTCAATTATAATAACAAATAGTCATCCTGCACAGTAACATGGGAAGACTTGATTTTTAGTGAAGGAAGTTAGTTATATAGGATAGTATATGATCTTTTTTGTGATATTTTTGTGTGTGTGTTCTGTTAACCAGTCCCTTTATTTAAATTACATAAAGGAGAATGCCAGTCTCACTTTTCCCAAAGGCCTATTGTTAAATCAGTGGTTCCCAACCAGTTTGACTCATGAGCCCTTTTTGGAACTTCATTGGGGGAGCCTTTTAGGCATACCCTGTATATTACGATTTAATAGTGTTTTCTTGTTTCCTGGAGTGGCCACAGAGCCCCTGACAAGCAAATAATACAATGTATAAATACTGATTTTGTAAAAAAATAATAGTTCACGCGTCTGTTAAAAATAACCTGGTTTTTCTTTCAATGAAAAAACCAATTAATTTACGGCATTTCTGATCTGATGGCATAACAGATCTCTTAACTTGCCAGAAAAACCATTGTTTACAAGAATCATCCTGTCAAATTGAAAGCAAGTGGAAGTTTCTTTAAAATTGGAAAACATTTTAAAAGAAAACAATAAGTACATTTTTAGGCTTTAAACTAAATAAAATAAAAATAAAACAATCCCTTCCATCTGCAGTTCTACAATAGGCAAATAATTTCATGTTTATATTAATGCCATAAATAACAAGATGCTTAAAATTATTTAGAGGGTTAAAGAAACATTGCGAGTCAGATTTCTTCCAACATCCTTGCTGTGACGTTCCGACTTTGTTATTATTGTTGAAAAACAGGTTGCACATAATTGATGACATAATATGAATTTCTATTTTCCAGTCACTCCCTGGTGTTACTGCATTCATCAAGGCCTCGGACATCCCCAAAGGTGGAAAAAATGACTGGATGCCATTAGGTCCTCTTGGGCCAGGACCCTATGACCATCAGGAGGTGCTGAGGAACTCTTCTCTTTACAAATTAAAAAAAAAATTCTTTTTTTAAATTGCTTTTCTAAATCTTTGTAACCAGTAAATAATTTCTTTTTACTATTTAAAAGTATTTGATGTGCAATTTCTGAAGTTTGAAAATTACAAATATAGTTTTTTTTCCCCCCTTTTGAGACCTTCTACAACACATTATGCATAAGTTTGCATAACACTCCCTGAGACTTGTACATAACATTTTGAACTATGCGCAACACTCTATTTAGGTTTGTGAAAGCTAATAATATGCTTCATAAGACTTTTGTATTGCATTCAAAGGCTTGCACAACACTTTATGAAAATATTCAGAAATATTTTTCTTCCACTTAGCTGTTGAGCAGTGGAGTAATCAACTATGCAGGACAAGCCATAGGAATTATTGTTGCAGGTATTTCTCTCTTTCTTGATCCACTAGTTCAAAAAAAAGTTATATCATTTTGTATCCATCTGTTATTTATTTATTTGCTAAGAAATCATTTATAAGAAGTAAGTTATTAGGCTGTGTCTTTTTAAACTGTACAAAAAAAATAATTTTAATTTGAAAAATTCAGATTCTGAAATCACGGCACAGACTGGTGCAAGCATGGTGAAAGTAACTTACAAGAACATTAAGCCTCCAATAGTTGACATCTTGGATGGTATCCAGCAGAAATCCTTTTTCCCTGATCCACCACCGCCTACCATTGTTGGTGACCCCAAAGGTATATGTAATATAGATTTGCTAGTTTTTGAAGAATTATTTAATTAAAGCGAAAATTTCAAAAACTATTCCTTTGGAATTTCATTTAAAATAAACAAAAACAAATATTATTTATTTGAAACCAAATATTGTTTAAAGAATTTCATCACCATAACAACACATACACCAACATATCAAAATTATGTCAACAAAGTATGAACACCATATCAAACATCAATTTTGTCAAAAGTTCAGTCACTCTCGGGTAGCCGCAGAATGAACTCAGCTAATTTCAAATTATTGTAATATGAAAAAAAAAACCCCAAGAAGAATATGTATATTAACTGTTGCATACTGTCATTAGAATGATGTGGTGATTCAGGCCAGGCCCTGCATGGGCTGCAGTGCCTTATGATGATGATGATGCTATAATTATGTCCTAATCAATAATACTGTTTCTATTTCTTGACACAAGAATGCTTTCAATCTGAAAGCTGTAGACTCAAGACCATTTTTAAAAATATTAAATCCCTCCACCCTGCTCTTCTAGGCGCAATCGCCGCTGCTCCCAATAAGATCAGTGGGAATATCCGTTGTGGTGATCAGTATCACTTCTACCTGGAGACACAGACCTCCATCTGCACACCCACCGACATCGGCGGCATGAAGGTCAAGGCCTCAACTCAGTGGCTGGACGGAGTTGGAATGACGGTATCCCAGGTTCTTGGTGTTCCTCAGTCCAGGTGTGTTGAGACTGATAATCGTATGTTTTTGCCAGCAATACCATTCTTATCTGCACAAACAGAGCTTCTCATTACTTACAAAGTTGAAAATCACAATTTTTTTTTTTTAGTGACCAAATTCAGGAAGTAAAATGACTCTGCTTTTTAAATTTCAGTGTGGAAGTTACAACAGAAAGACTTGGAGGAGGGTTTGGTGGAAAGATAACTCAGAATTTCATAGTGTCTGGAATGTGTGCCCTTGCAGCCTATATTGTAAACAAGTAAGTTAGGGAATAGTAAAAGTAAAGAAGTATTGGAACATTGTTCCATTAAAAACATTGTTAGGAATAACTAAAAATGCTTTCCACTGGATGACTCATCTAGTTGATGATTTAACCCTTTACAGGGCAGAGGTACTTCCTCTTGCATGTCCTGAATGGGCACTACTTTTCCATTTTTTAGTAAGATTTAGGGCTATGTTACAAAAAAAATAAAATCTAAGGTGTTAGTCAACAAATTTGTGTGAAATGAAAAGCAAAATAAAGGAAAATGAATGTAGGTTTATTATTGAACTCACATGTTGCCATTAATCCTCATATGAACACAAATATTTGCAAAAAACAAAATTGTTTGTGATTGTGAGTTATCTATTCACTATTGACAAACACTGCCACAAAATCGAAGTTTGTAAAATTCAACACTGCTAACTACGCTGATTTCACTAATATTACTAATAATATTAATATCTAGTTCCAATTTACAGTCAATTCGTGCACTTTAATGTCACTTAAATTGAATCCAGCGAAATCTCCGCTATCACTTGAATAATAGGCAAATAATCTGCAAAATCCATTTCGAACATTTTTTTTTTAAAGCCTCGGAGGTCACGAGAAAACAAAACTATGTCGTCACGGACGCTTTTGGGCGTTTTGCCCTTTAAGTGGTAAAGACGTTTTCGGCCGCTCTGCTCCGTAAAGGGTTAAATGGTCTTCCTTTTTTTTTATCCCATGGAATTTGTTTAAACCAGGTGTAAGATAATTTATAAATTATTCTTTTTATATTACTTTCAGATAATTTGATATAGACATTAAACATATTAAATGTTGATTTTTCTTTCATTTCTCTGTCCTAGTTGTGTTGTTAAAAATAAAAAAAAAGTTTTATAAAATATTTTTTAAAAACTGGTTGAACTACGAGGTTAAATTGACACCATTTCCTTTTTGTCAAATACTATGATCACACTTTTTAAGTAATTGTGTGTATGAAAAATAAATGTAAAAATACATTTTTTTGTTTAAACACAAAGACCTGTAAAGATGCACCTGGACATTCATACCAACATGAAAATGCTTGGCAAAAGAACAGCTTATTACGCCGAGTACGAGGTATGTTGGTCAATGTTGGTCTTCATTAGCCCATTCACCACATTCTTTATATTTTCTTTATTACTCTTTATATTTTCTTTACTAATAATGGCAGTATTTAAAATTTTTATATCTACCTGTTAAATATATATTAAGATAAAAAAACAGATATTGAATGCCATTTATTTACTGGAAATAATATTTAATTATTTTTTTAACTTCCAGACCGCTGTCAATTTTGATTGTTTTTTATGTACCCATTCCAGGTGGGATTTGATAACAATGGCACACTCCAAGGTATCATTGTTACTGGTTATGGGGATGACGGTGTCTCAACATTCGATGGGGACCCTTCCGAACTGCTTACTTGGATTGACAATGGTTGGTTTTCATTTTGAAAAAAAATCTTGCAACTCAAATTTTTTTGAGTTGCAAGATTTTAATAATAAACATGTTATTGAAAGTTATAATGCTACAAATTTAAATTAAAAAATAAAACTAAAGCCTCACTGAAAAAAACAAAGAACATGTAGGCATAAATCATTTATCTGAGATGCCGTTTATAGTATAGAAAGCAGGGAACTATAAAGATAAGTAGAAATAAAATAGAACAAGGTGAAGATACCGCTGACGCTGTACAATCGTGTGGTCGCTAGGATAAGCCTTACAATGGCGTGTTTACCTTGAAGCTGTTCGAATAATTGTCTTTTACAATTAAGTTAATATTATTGCTTGCTCTGTTCCATTTTTATTTCATTTGATTTATTGTTTCCTGCAATTTCCAATCTAAATTTTATTAATTCAATTTGGCTGTTATTTTCAGCCTATTATTGTCCCAACTGGCTTTTTACACCAATTCCTGTGAGAACCAACAAACCAGCAAGCACAGCATGCAGATCACCGGGTGAGTTGCTTTTAACAATGAAATTAAGAACCGATAAGTTCTTTAAACATTCACAAGTGTTGCTGATTTTTTAAAAATGAATGGTTATTTTGTTTAAATTAAAAAAAAAAAGAAAAATGTGAAATCTTTTGTTAACAAGCTGACAGAAGATGACATCCTATAATTTTTATAGAGATAAACCCAGCTCTAATTTTGAGTCAAGTGGAAAACTATAAAAATGTTTTAGCTGGATTTAAACAATTTAAAATAAGTTATTTATAAGTTTGCAAGCAAATAAAAGTGGGTTTGCCAAATACCTCAATTATTATCTATAATAATAATTCCGGAATGGATCTTTCTTGTCCGCCATGGTTTCATAGCGCACCCTGCTGCGCATTCCTTTGCTGCATCCCCCATCAAGCTCTTAATCTTGTATGCACCAAATGCACACAAAAGAACGCCTAGATGATGAACTTTGATGCAATGACTGATTGGCCTCTAAAGGACCTGGCAGAAATATTTAAATTGTAGCTACAAACTTGGAATGGACAGTATTTTAACACGCGCATCGTGGTCGTGTTGTCCCAGCTGGTTATAGTATTACCTAATAGGTCTATAGTGTTGGGTAGTCATGTAGGCATAGGGTTGAATAATGAAGTAGTAATAAAACTTACTTTCTTATCAATTATTTCGTAGGCTCCACGCCAGCCATCTTTATAATGGAAAGCATCATTGAACATGTGGGCAAGGCTCTGGGCAAAGACCAGTACGCTGTTAGGAAGCAAAACCTCTATATCAAGGGTCAGGTAAGTGGTCTGTGGGCAAAGAAAAGTATGCTGTTAGGAAGCAAAACCTCTATATCAAGGGTCAGGTGAGTGGTCTCTAGGCAAAGACCAGTTTGCCGTTAAGAAGCAAAACCTCTATGTCAAGGGACAGGTGAGTGGTGCTTGTTAACAACTAGAAACACATTGTGTGGTTTGTTAACATCTAGTACCACAGTGTGTCGGTTTTTAACTTCCAGCAACTTATTGTGTAGGTTTTTAATATCTAGCAACACAGAGTGTCAACTATAATATTACTACAATTTTGAAAAAAAGTTTTATTTAACTAAATTAAACTCATATTTTTTCTTTACCCTTACAAAAATTAAAATTATAAGGTAAATACAAGTTCTATAAGTTACTATAAATGTGGATACAATTTTTAATGAGATATTGAATACTTCTCATGACATTTGTTCTTCAGCCATTTTCTTCAATGACACATTTTCAGAAAACACCTGGTGGCATGCCCTTAAATTACTGCAGCATTCGTGAAGTGGCTGCTCAGTTTGAGGACCAGATCAACCTTGTTAAACGTCAGCAAGACGTGGCAGCTTTTAACCAGGTTTGTACACACAAAAATTTGTGTGGGGGGAAAGTTCCCGCTACTAAAATTGAAACGAAAATTTAAAAAAAAAAAAAAATCTCTTTATCATGTTTAAAAGTGTGTTAAAACTGCTCATAAAAGTGTGTTAAAACTGCTAATTAAAGTGTGTTAAAATAACTTATTAAAGTGTGTTAAAACCGTTCATTAAAGTGTGTAAAAATAGCTCATTAAAGTTGTGTACATGATCCAGTTCATATACATCTTTGTATGATAACATTGATTTCTATCTTAACATTGTATTGTATCTTAACATTGATTTCTATCTTAACGCTGAGTTTTCAAAAGAACACCGTTTATTGCCCCATTTAACAGGCCAACAGGTGGAGGAAACGTGGACTTGCCCTGATGCCCAACAGGTTTGGCATCGGTTGGTTTGGCGCCCAGTACAACACGCACGTGATCATCTACCATCAGGATGGGAGTGTGGTGGTTGCGCACGGGGGCATCGACATGGGTCAAGGTATCAACACGAAGGTAAATTAATGTTCTGCTGGGTGCTGCTGTGTTATGCTCTAAATCAAACTTGTTATGAGTTCCACCGTATGGTAAACAACCTATACAACATGATTTTTCTAATCAATGCAGAAACGATTATGTCATCACAGCTGTAGGATAAAGTGAAACATATTTTTGCCACTGTAGTTTGCACACAACAGTGATGAGAAAGAATTATATTTTTTTAGGCTGAACAATGCAAACATCATTATATCAAGCACAACTGCAAAACAAAGCACAAATATTTACTGTCAAAGCTGTTTGCACCCAACAGGGATTAAAAAGTATAACATTTTTTTTTTTTAGACTAACCTTGGCAAAGACTTCAAAGAGTATTATTGCAATCTGTGCTTACTTTGGCACAGAGTATATGTTGCAATCTGTGCTTACTCTGGCAAAGAGGATATATTGCAATCTGTGCTTACTCTGTCAAAGAGTATTATTGCAATCTGATCTTACCTTGGCACAGAGTATATGTTGCAATCCACATCGATTGGCTTTGGCACTTCAAGTGCATTCACATGTTCTGATTAACATAACAGGAGTCCGATTTCAAGAAGAACGTATACTTTAATCTAAGCCTCTCTAACATCTGGATACAATAATTGGAACACATAGAGCACAGTTTGATTCTGAAAAACCGTACAACCTTCTCACTCATTTCTCAGACTGCGGCTGCTCAACGAATAACACATACTCAAAAGTCAAGACTGTAGACACTATGTCACAGATACAAAAAAATCATGTCTCAAGCCTCATGGCGGCAAAAGCTTTCATTAACCAAACTAACACACAAGAAAATAAAACACCACATTCTGTGCACTGCAGTTCCAATACAATAAAACACCACATTCTGTGCACTGCAGTTCCAAGACAATAAACACCACATTCTGTGCACAGCAGTTCCAAGACAATAAACACCACATTCTGCGCACAGCAGTTCCAAGACAATAAAACACCACATTCTGTACACAACAGTCACATGACATGCTCGACATCTTCAAGACAAGTAGTAACAATCAATTCCAAAAAGCATGAAATTTTGTAACAAGGTTTCAAACAGCTTCATGCAAAGGGTTAATTAAGTTCTCACATATTTTAAAAAGACTTAAAAATTAAATAGCACTTAGACTAAGATAGCATGATTAACCCCTTGAAGTTTTTAAATAAAAGATTCTAATTTTTATTTTAAGTGATTTTTTGTGTCTTATGGTCTAGACTTGTCGCTTGACATAAAATGAACAAAATAAAATAAAACTAATTTTTCCTTAAGATTGTTCAAGTCTGTGCCTATGAATTTGGTATCCCAATGGATGGTATCCGTGTGACATCATCATCCTCTGTCATCAACGCCAACTCTGTCACTTCTGGGGGATCCATAACCTCTGAGTTGTGTTGTCTTGTGAGTACACTCTGATTGAACCCTGTAATGTCATTTTCTGGCCGGCACTGATTCAACCCCTTACTGGCCAGTTCTGGCCAGTAGTGATTCAACCCTGTTACAGCCAGATCCAGTAACTTATCTCGCTGTTTACACATTACTGTACAGAAAGCAGAAATCTAACTATTTAAATGAAAATCTCTTGAGTTTACTTCCGTTTTTTTGTTATTTTCAACAATGCTTTATTTGAAGATCAGATTTATTGTCTTAATTTGTTTTTTTCATGTATTTTAGGAATTTATTGTAGTTTGACTTTTATGAATGCACACAACACAAGCCTTGGGAAATTGTATAATACAATGCATAAAGCAACCCATTATAAAGGATAATCAATTTGTTTCATAGAAATATACCATAAGACGACTGGGCATATAAGACGACCCCCCTACTTTTCCTGTTAATATATAGTATTTGGACCGTATATTAGCTGATAAGATGACCCCCAAGTTTTGAAAAGATTTTTATGGGGTTTAAAATATGGTACATTTGTTGGTTTTTGTTGTTGTTTTTTTTCTAAACCACGTATGATGAATGGGGAGTTCCCTTGGCTAGAAAGGAAAATGAAAGAAAAATTAAATACAAAATAAATAAAAAATGGCTGAGGTTGCTAAGGACGACATTCCTGAGTGCCCAGAATTGAGTGGGTTAAGTAGAGGCTTGATGTGTTTCATTTCATTAAATTTGTTCTTTGTTTTTTCTTTATACATTAATCATTTTTAAAAATATAAAGTGGGGAATAGGGTTTAGCAAACTAACTGGTTTTTTTTACGTTTGGTTTTTGAGCATTTCACTTATTCCTGTTTCTAATTGAGTCTCTTTTATAACATCTAGTATCACAAGGCCATTTAGCTTTGGAGGTTAGAGAGAGAAATCGAAAAACATAAAAATTAACTTTGAGTCTGAGAGTATGAAAATGTTTTTAAACTTGACTTACTCATTATTTCAGGGAGTTATCGAAGCTTGCAACATTCTCAAGCAGCGCATGGCCCCTGTCAAAGCTAAAATGGTCAACCCAACATGGAAGGACCTTGTGGCTAAATGTTATGATGAGATGATCGATCTAACTGCAAATTACGTGTAATAACTTACAGTATTTTAATGTTGTATTAATATCCTATAAAGGATAGAAATGAAAAAGTCATCCCTTAGACAAGAATTTACAGAGGAAAACTGCTCATATTAGTAAACAATATTTACACCGTAAGATGTTTGGGTCCAAAGCCTGTCAAAATTTTAATTTAAAAATATTTTAAAGTCCAACCAAAAAACACTAAAGGATTATTATAATATTTTTGCACTTAAGACAAAATAATGCACTCTACAATCATGCAATTAAAGCAAGTTAAATAATTTCATTCATTTTGAATTAAACTCAACTCAGATGAAACCAAAGCGACCGAAGGCTTTGTATTGTGGGCATAACTTCAGAAACATATTTGAAGAAGTATTTTTTTCAAAAGTTTGCAAAAGTTTTTTTTTTACAATTTTTTATCAAAACCTTTAAGAGTTTAACTTTGAAATTTCTGTAAACACATCACTCTGTGAACACATCACTCTGAACACATAACTTTTTGAACACATCACTTTGTGAACACATTACTTTGTAAACACATCACTCTGAACACATCACTCTGAACACATCACTCTGAACACATCACTCTGTGAACACATCACTCTGTGAACACATCACTCTGTGAACACATCACTCTGTAAGCCCATCACTTTATAAACACATCACTTAAGACCACATCAAACATACTAAATATGTTTTATATTATTTGTGCTTAGAACTAACACTGGCCATAAGTCCACTCAAAAACAAATGGGAAATAATGGTTTGTTTTTAAAAAAAAAATTCAATTCAGTTGTTTACAAATAGTTTATAGTATGTAGCGTTGTTCATGAATGCATTTCAAATTGTATTTTAAAAAAAGAAATTCGATTAATGCACAAAATTACACCTATAAAAAAAAAAATAAAATAGAAGGTAAGAAGGTAACCAGTCATAGGCACACACAAAAAAAAAAATCTGCTAAAAAGAAGTTTTATTCCTTTTCAGGACTCACCAGACTGATCCATACCCTAGTCGTTACAACTGTTACAGCATTGCTGCCGTAGAGGCTGAATTGGACGTCCTGACTGGACAGTACCAGCTTCGACAAATGGACATGCTGTACGACTGTGGAGTCAGGTAAAATTCTAATAAAACTTAAAGCAATAAATTCAACAAACAATTTTCTTGTTTAAAAAAAAAAACTCGCTGTTACTTCAATCTGGAATATTGGCAGATTCCAATTAATTTACTTTTTAAATTTTCTGCTAGCTTTTTTGTGTGTCTTACTCCTCTTCTTTTCATTTGCAAATATGCAACAGATTTAAAATAATCTCCAGAGCATGTGCTGAGTTAAAATTTAAAACAAAAATACATAAGATCGGTTTGATATAAATATAATTCAAATCTTTTGGAAATAAATTTGTTGATACCATACTTTAAAATTTTCAATGTTTTTGTTTTACAGTATAATAATAATTATCAATTTACCAAATAAGTGCACTTATTTCACAATATTCATTTGCATTGTTCATTCATTATTTCTTCTAGTATCAACCCTGAACTGGACATTGGTCAAGCAGAAGGTGGTTTTATCATGGGGATGGGTTATTTCCTGCAAGAAGAAATGAAATTCGACCCAACTACGGGTCAGGTCATCAATGCCGGAACATGGGTACGGAAGCTGCGTTGGTTTCTTGATATTTGTAACATTTCCATTATATGAAAACATTAGTTTTGATAACAGTCATCAGTTGGCTCCATTGATTTTGTGTGATATGTTTTCTTGTTTAAAGCCTTTGGTCAGCTAGCTTCTTTCATGTGGTGTTAGATCTATGGTAAGGGTCGGCAACCTTTAGCAGGCTTGCCAGACTTGACAAACAGAACTATTTTCAGTGGCGCGTAGATGACCAACAAATAGTGAAAAATGATTAAAAATGTCTCTTACAGTGTGGCCTTATTGGTTACTGGCACGCAGAATGAATTAGATATTGTGCCAAATAATAATAATAATTGTTTCCAAAGGGTTGTTGACCCTCGATCTATGGATTTAAGATATTAGTTTGAAAAATGTGCATGAACTTATTATTCCTAGCTTTAAGATATTTTAAAATAGTTGCCAAGGCAAGCATATTACTAATAAAAATGGCTTGCAAGTTAAACCAACTGTAAAATTTTACAAAGACATTTGAATTACTTGCTGCTACTTGCTTTTCAGGAATATAAACCTCCAATGGCAAAAGATTTACCAATGAATTTCAACTTTACATTCCTGAGAAATGCACCCAATCCACTGGGAGTTCTGCGATCAAAGGGTAGGTAACTCTGTGGGTTTTATTGTTTGTTTTGGCATAATTTACTAGTGAGTATAGACAACAAGAAATTGATATTATTTCATGCAAAATTCTTTTCCCTACTTTCAGCTGTTGGAGAGCCTCCCTTAACGATGGCTGCTGCAGCCCTTCTGGCCATCAAACATGCCGTTGAAGCCGCCAGGGCTGAAATAGGACAGGACACTTTTTTTGCCTTGGGTGAGTTAAAATTAAACGAAGGTGCTTTTCAAAATTAAAAAAGTTGTAGCTGATTTTCTAATAACATTGACTTTTCAAAGTGGAAGTTTTTTCTTAAAGATATCTATCATTGAGCCTTTTAATAGTTAAAAAAAAAAAAAAATTGCAACTTTAATGAAGCAATAAATGAAAGTCCTGACTTGGTCAGGCATTATTTTGTTCAAAGGTTCTTTTTTAATTAAGGTTACTTAAATTTTGTACTCTGCTCTGCACTGGACTCAAAAAGCATACAAATAAAAGTGTTGATCATATGGTCATTTTTAACCGTTTTTTAAAAAGATTTACTTCTCACAGATGCTCCGGCTACTCCTGAAAAAGTCCAGACCCTATGCTTGAATGACATTACAAAATTCACTTTTGGGAAATAACTTTCATAATCATCAATTTCCCAAACCGGCTCAGAGATAAGTTCAAATTAAAATACTCAGACTGATATTTCTTCAAGGCCTTGTCTTTCAAGTGTGTCAAAGAGATAACATTTAATTCTCAATGCAGCTTTGTAATGACATGATCTGTAACAATGATAACATTTAAATCTGAATGCAGCTTTGTAATGACATGACCTGTAACAATGCTCCTGAAACTTGACTTTTTATCAGAGTATTTTTTCATATCTAAAATGAAATTCGGTTCTCACAAAAAAGTGAAGAAAAATTTGTTACTCTAATTTACTTTTATATTTTTGTTTGGTGTACAAATATTTACAGTAAATTTACATTGCAATATTTGCATTATGTTTCAATATCTCAAACCATGTTGATTTTAATCAAGGTGTAAGGGAAGTTATGAAATTGGGCTAATGCCATATTTAAAATGATAACATTTAAATTTTTTATTTAATTGTAACATTTAAGCTTTGCAATTAATGTCTGTGTTAATATCACAATCTGTTTAAATTAGAGCTATATTCCTAGCATTGCATCTAGGAAATAACCTCAAACATTTTAAACTCAGTTGACATCATATTTTACCTCTGTGATAATTTACTTCTTTCTTTAAATTAAAGTTATACCCACTACTCCTACTGTTAAATATAGGAAACTCCATTTAATATTTTTGTGCTGGTAAATATAGTTAAAATTAACATCATATTTTAATTGTCAAACATAATATTTTTATTTTTTTTTTCATTTCCTGAAACTAGAATTAAGTTAAACCCCTGAGATATACAATAAGTGCAAAGACTAACAAAATTTGGACCATGTTCTATTCACTTGTTTTAAATTACAAATACTTATTCAATTATAAAATGTGTTGATGCATTGTGCTAATAGATAATCAACATACTGGAGTGGTAAACTGGTTACCTTTCATTTGCATTATTAACACAGTGTGCCAGATAACTTTTTATGGAATTAATTACTTTATTTATTAAATAAGCCCATTTATAACATTTGAAATTTAGTTACAAGTTCATTAAAACCAAGTTATTACCCAGTCTGTTAATTAACAAAAGAAAAAGCCATTCACACTTTGCATTCTTGACTTGCCTGGCTCATATCTACATAGCATTTTAAGAGTGAAATTTTTTTTTTTTTAAATCATTTACAAATTTTATTAAGGCAATTTGAACAACAAAATGTTTCATGCCCACGCAGAATGTTGATCTTTTGCCACACAGAATGTTGATCTTTTGCTTGATTACTTCATGTTTTCTTTTTTTAAAAAGTGGATATTTTATTGCTGGGTTCTCCAGTGTAGTGAAAACCATGGCATTGCAATTGCACTATCTTTAATTTAATGTAATTTGTAATGTATTTCTTTATTGGGCTTTAGTCTTAATTAACTTAATTTTTCTAATAATTTAAAATTTAAATTGTCTGATATATTATAATATTAGGATTTTTTTTTAAAATGTATACTTTTCTGCAATTATATTTGGAAATATCAGAATATGGGACTATAATTAATTTACTGTAAACAACTCCAAAATATGTGTGCTGCTTCTGCAGTTAATGAGATAAACCATTAACCTTGAGATTTTAGTGCAATATTTACATCATGGCCATAGCCTTGCAGCATGATACATTTAGGAAAGTTTTAATAAAGACCAAGGTTGGATGAAGAAAATCATTAAATGCAAGACAAAATTACAACAAAAAAATATTATGATAAAACAAAAAAAAGGTTTAGAGATAAATAAAAGGAATTGGAAAATAATGTTTTAAAAAAAACTTTGATTTCATTGAATTTGTATATGAGAATTCTGTGCTGCACTAACCAAGCTTCAATTATTGTCATTTGAATTACCTTGTATTCAATGTTTATTTTTGAAAGTATGAACCCAACCTAATTAACAACTTAAAAGATTTACGTCTTTTCCTTTTCTAGAGTTGTGCCATACACATGTTGATACACATGTTGATGCTTCATAAAAAAATAAATTTTATTTTTCAAAAATGCTGTTGAGTTTTATATTTGAGTAAATATAAATATTTTTTCATTCACTAGAAAAGTATGATTCGTTTTAATAACTAAAAATCCCTTATTAGATAATGTTCCTTAATTGATCATCTAGCCTATCGTCTAGCCTATTATCTAGCCCATGTTTCCACAAATGTGTACATTGGAGGCAAATTAGGACAAGTCTATTGGTATTGTAATACTTTATTAATTTGTCAGCATTTTGGTTACCATTTTTATGTTCTGATGTGCTGCAATATGTCATATGTCATTGCTCTGTATTGTCGTTAGACATTTTCTTTGTTTTAGAATACCTATATTTATTGCCTTAATTATTAATAGGAGTAGAGGTGAAAAAAAAACTGACCCTGGCTAATAATTAAGAACCACTCTTTTCCAGCTAAAATTGCATAATGCAACTTTTGTAAGTACGTTCTGGATACTTTATTAAAACGATTGTGTTCTGGTAAATGTCAGAATAGGTGTACACGGGGGGGGGGGG